CAACTTTCCCGCAGTTCCTGGTTTGGGCTCCGGCGGCCGGAACTGGTGTTGTCTGTGGTCTAAGGGTTTCCTTACTTTCCGCTCACAATTTTCACCATCCCTTAAGTGAAATTAAATTCTAGCTGGCCAGGAGAGCCTCCTTTGGAAAGCAGAAACCTGGGAAATCATATCTACATACATATCATATATATATATATATATATATATATATATATATATATATATCAGTTATGTGTGTGTCTGTGTGTGTTTTTTTCACAGAAGCAGCAGATCGTCTGGAGCTGAAGTTATAGGCAGTTGTGAGCTGACGCTGGAGCCCAGCTCTGATCTTCTGCAAGAGCTACATAGGCTCTTAACTCCTGAGCGGTCTCTCCAGCACTCCCACCCCCTTTTTGAGACAGTATCTCATATTGCAGCCTGGCCGGCTGCAATGCGTTAAAAATAAAATAAAAATTGAGGTTGACTTCGAACTCGCAGAGATCGTCTGGCACTTCCTCCGTGTACTATCATAAGAGGCACAAGATCAGGGCTCTTACTGTAAAGGATTCTTAGGCTAGATAACAAAGTCCTTTCTCAGCCTAGCTTAATCCTGTCTCACTGTTTTAGTGGTTCATTGGTTGGTTTTGTTGCTTCATTGCTGGGAATGTACACTCTGCCTCTTCGGACAGCTTTTAGATAAAGGTGTTTGTATCTGTCTTGAGGGTTGCTTGCTTTGACTCAATTCATGGCTTCCCTCTCTTGCTGAAATGGCTGTGAAGTACAGTACGTGAGTTGTGGCTGCCCATCAGTCAACTCTTTTCAGAATGAAAGTGTGTGTCAGGGTGAATGTGACCCCAGTGAAGCCGGAAGCTGTCATTGAGCGGTGGGCTGAGAAAAGGAACGTCCAGGCCCTGAAATCAGTTCTGGTCCTTCCCAGGTTTCCCCTTCTCTAGAGCATGGGAGGAAGGGCTATGCAAATGAGCATCCCTTCCTATATAGGGGCTCATTCCCACCCCTGGCACCTTCGGCTGCTGAAAGGAAGAGCAGGATGGATGTGCCAAGGAGGTGCCCTCTCCCTCTGTTTGTACTGAGTGCTTTGCTGGCTGTGGGGGCCGTAGAAGGTGAGTGCGCCTGTGTCATCAGGAGCAAGTGTCATTAGCAGTTGAACACCTGCTCTGGGATTCCCCCTTCTAACCAGACTTGTAGGAATATCTCAAGTCCTATTTGATTTGATTTCGTGAGGATAAAGTTTTGTTTGCCTTCATTTGTTCAAGATGAGGGTGGCCTTGAACTCCTAATCCTCGTGCTTCTATCTCCTAAGCACTGGGATTCCTGACATAAACCGTCGTGCCCAGATTTATGTGTGAAATTTAGGATTGAGAAGTATTCCTATCTGACTCAAGGGGCAGAAGGCACAACAGTAATTCTGAGACCTCCTCAGACAGAGAGCTGAAACAGGGCTCCCAAGGAGGTAAAATAAATGGGTAAAATGGATTAGGTGATATCTGAAGTACTTATGATAGGAGAATTAAAGTGGAGAGAGAGAATATGCTATTCAGGAAGACCAAGCTGATACCACCTTCTGTACTTGGGGTGGATATGGGTGTATATAGCCCAGGCCTTACATTCTGGGTCTGGGAGAGAGAAGCAGAAGGGTCTCAGCTGAGCATCACATGAAAGGACTCTGGGGGATTGAGGCCTCGTGACAGGAGCAAGGGGAGGGAGTGAAGGGTGGCGAGAGGGTCTGGAATGTCCCGTGCTGCAGGGGAGGGAGGGTGGGCAGTTAAAAAAGAATGGTGCATCTCATGACTGCTCCTGCTTCGGTGGACAAACACTCTCTGAGTTGACCACAGACCAACCCCCAACAGAATCTGGCTTCCCTGTGGACATTAGGATTGGGATAAGGACAGTTTCTGCTGTACTACAATACATACATCATATCACAGCCTCTTTTTCTCTCTTTGAATCCCTGGTCTCACAAACTTCCTTACTCTGGCTTCTTCATTTGTACTGCATTTTCCAGGGGTTTTGTTTTGGTTTTTTGTTTGTTTGTTTGTTTGTTTCTTCATTCCTTTTCTGAGATGGGATCTCTTGTATCTCAGACTGGCCTTGAACTCACTATATAGTAGAATACTTTTGCTTCTGCTTCCTAGTTGCTGGGATCACAGGCAGGTGTGTGGTACCAGTGTTTTTTCTTTTGCTAAGTTCCTTAATGAATTTTGGAAATGTTTGGTTCATGCCCACACATCTGAGGCTCTTAAGATACTGTGCTTACATTATGAACACTGACTTTATTATTTTTTTCTACCATGTGAGTCTGGGGATCAAACTCAGGTTCTTAGGCTAGGCAGAAAATATCTTTGGTTTTTTTTTTTTGTTTTGTTGTTGTTGTTTTGTTGTTGTTGTTGTTTTCGAGACAGGGTTTCTCTGTGTAGCTTTGGAGCCTATCCTGGCACTCGCTCTGGAGATCAGGCTGGCCTCGAACTCACAGAGATTCACCTGCTGGCAGAAAATATCTTTACCCATCTCACTTGCCTGAGATTTTCTTCTGAAAACATATTTTAGACAAAAACAGCAACTAATAAGAATAAAGCAAATATATCAAAATGTTTTATTGATATTGGATTTGAGTGAAGGGGATGTGGAAGCCAATTATTCTTCTTTCTTCTCTTGTCAGATTTATGTTTTAGCTTAGGTCTCCCAGTGTAACCCTAGTTGGCCTGGTACTTGCTGTGTAGACCAGGCTGGTCTCCAACTTTGCAGTGATCTTCCTGCTTCTGTCTTCTGAGTGTTGAGGTTACAGACATGAGATACTATACCCAATTTAATTATAATAATTATGTCTGTGTTGTCCCCACCTCCAACCTGTACCTGGGTCTACTCATTCCTCTCTCCTTTTTTCCACAGTGGTCTTTTTCCTCTTCTTCCTTCTTTTTCCTCCTCTTCTTCCTCTTCTTTTTTTTGTTTTTTGTTTGTTTGTTTTGTTTTTCGAGACAGGGTTTCTCTGTGGCTTTGGAGGCTGTCCTGGAACTAGCTCTTGTAGACCAGGCTGGTCTTGAACTCAGAGATCTGCCTGCCTCTGCCTCCCAAGTTCTGGGATTAAAGGCGGGTGTCACCAACGCCTGGATTGCTTCTTTTTTCTTTTGAGAAAGTGTTCTGTAGACCAGGCTAGTCTAGTCTGGAACTCATTATGTAGTTCATACTGGCCTCAACCTCATGGTGAGACTTTGGCCAAAGACTCTTGAGTACTGATTGAGATTACATTTGTGAGTCACCATGTTCTGATGCCACAGTGGCTTTTCTAAAATACAAATTCCACCATGTTAAAAACAATTTCTGGGCTTGGCGTACTAGCCTGCCTTTAATCCCAGTACTTGGGAGGCAGATGGATCTCTGTGAATTCAAGGACAGCCTGGTCTATAAATTGAGTTCCAGGACAGCCAGAGCTATACAGAGAAACCTTTTCTCAAAAAACAAACACAATTTTTTGTTTGTTTCTTTCTTGCCGGGCATGGTGGCGCACATCTTTGATCCCAGCACTTGGGAGGCAGAGGCAGGCAGATCTCTGTGAGTTCAAGGCCAGCCTAGTCTACAGAATGAGTTCCAGGACAGCCAGTACTGTTTCAAAGAGAAACCCGTCTCAGAAAACAAAAAACCAAAAATTATTGTTTCTGTGATTTTTTTTTTTTTTGAGACAGGATCTCTCTGTGTATCCCTGGTTGTCCTGGAACTCATTCTGTAGGCTGGGTGACCTCAAACTCATAGAAATCCACCTGCCTCTGCCTCCCAAGGGTATGCCTAGCTAAAGATATTTAATAAAAGCATTTCAATTAAAGTAAGAAGAGGGTTGAGAATACAGATCAGTGTTAGAATGCTTTTGGTGTTAGGCCCTATGTTCAGTCTCAGTGTTGCCCTCCATCCCACCAAAATAAATACATTGCACTTTGAATGTCACAACGAGATGAAATGGGACATAGCGCTATCCTCTGAGAAAGGACTAAGGACCTTAGGATCTTATGGCACATTCCTTTTAGGATCCAGGAACCAAGACTGGCTTGGTGTCCCACGGCAACTTGGAACTAAGGCCTGGGACAGGCAGCTGTATCCTGAGTGGACAGAGGTGCAGGCACCTGACTGCTGGAGAGATAAGATTTGTATATTCTGGGGGAAAGGCATGGTGGGAATGAGATAGGAGGATGGTAAGAACTGGGTTACATTGAAGCAGGTTGGCAGAGAGATTTGGAGAGGAGAAGCCAGAGTCCCAGCTAATGCATCTTTCCTTCCCAGGTGGCCCGGTGTCTTTGAAGGTCAGAAACGATGGACCTACACTGATTGGTGCAAATGCCTCCTTTTCCATTACCCTGCACTTCCCTGAAAGTCAAAAGGTGCTGCCAGATGGGCAGGTTATCTGGACCAACAACACCATCGTCAATGGTAAGTACCTCTCTTGGTATCTCCTGAACCTTATAACTGGGGCTCTGATTCCCAGGTATCTCCAGTAAACTCAGGGAAAAACCCCTTCATCCTTCTCCTCCTCTTCTTTGTTTTTTTCCAGGCAGGGTTTCTCTGTGTAGTCCTGGCTGTCTAGGAACTCGATTTGTACACCATAGTGGCCTCAGACTCACAGAGATCAGCTTGTCTCTGCCTCCTGAGTGCTGGGATTTAAATATATATGCCACCACCACCTGGCTCCTTTTCTATTTTTTTTTTAAACAGTGCTGGGTTCAAACCTAGGGCCTCACACATGCTTGTCAAGTGTTATTCCATTGCCCTTTATCCCCTATAGACTCTGTAAAAAAAATTATGATTATACTCATCACAGTCAATATATACTGTAAATATGTAAAATGTAATAGATACTTATTGCACTAAAATCAGAAAATGCAGATAAAGTTACAGTTTCCAAATTGGAAAACAGCAGATTCCTGAAGTTGCTTGGGCTCAGATGTAAATCCATCACTACATGTGACTCTGGGCGGGTAAATTGCTGTGTGCTTGCATTCCTGCCTATGAAGTAGGTGTGGTACCTTGACATTATTACGAAGATGAAGGCTCATCTATATAAAGTACTCAGCAGAGTCACCTGGACCTACAGTAAATATTTAGTGTTAGCTGCTGCTGCTGCTCTTAATCTCACGAGAGTCATTGTAAACATTTTGTTCTATGGATAGCCAGTCTCTTATTTATGTTCTATACGAATATGAATCTCAAGCTGTGGCTTCCATACATTCCCCCACTCTCCAATTATCATCCCATGTGGGCTGTAGTATGGAGACTGTAGTTCCAGCTACGGAGTACTCCTATAGCCCCACCCACTAGGAACTATTTTAGGGGTCTGCGTGCACATTAAAGAATGTTGGGGTTTGAGGTTGACTGTATCTACCTTCCAGGGAGCCAGGTATGGGGAGGGCAGCCAGTGTATCCACAGGGACCAGATGATGCCTGCATCTTCCCTGACGGTGGACCCTGCCCATCTGGCCCTCGGCCTCCCAGAAGAAGCTTTGTCTATGTTTGGAAGACCTGGGGTGAGGTTCCCCCAACAGTCCCTTCCCAATATATTCCTACCCAAGGAACCCACCCTCCCAAACACCTGGAGGAAATCAACACTCCCCCCCCCCCCCCCCCCCCCCC